TACTGATTACTTTCTGCCAGTAGAAAACACTCATACAAGATTGAACAATGGGAAAGAAGAAAAATGATTCTTCTTCCTACTTTGGGTTTCTTTTGACAGACTTCTAATAGCCAAAGACATGCCAGCTCCAGGATTTCTGAACGACCAACAAGAGCCCAACCACTGCTTGCTGAAGGTTTATGCACCTGCAGTATCAGCATCAGTCACACGGCCTCTCTGAGAGGTCTGAACACCAAGGTGTGCAACTGCCTTTCTTCTGCACATCTGGGTTATGACCACTATCCCGTCCCTTTTATTCATGGGTTCCTGGGTTGTTGAGGGAAGCCTGCCTTCAGATCCCTTACCTTGGGAGCCTCTCCACCGGGCCACTCACATGGCGGCTGGCTTCATTAGAGTAACACAGGGAGAGTGTGAGCGCCAGAAAAGGAAAGTCGCGGCCTTTTACAACCCAATATTGGAAATTCCGTGTCCTCATTATCGCCCTATTCTATGCCTAAAAGGGAAAAGGTGAAGTCCAGCTCATAGAAAGGGGAAAGACAACATGCATGGATGTGTGTGAAGAGCAAGCGATGGAGAGTCATTTTAGAAACTGTCTACTACTAAGGAGATAATCTTTTTTTAATGCAAAGTACTAACACTGATATTTAAAAAAAAATAAGGTGCTTCAGTCCTATATACCTATCACAGAAGTTGAATTCATAATTAAAAATCTCACAAACACCAGTGCACTGGGAAGACCCAGAGGGATCGGGTGGAGAGGGAGGTGGGAGTGGGGATCGGGATGGGGAATACATGTAAATCCATGGCTGATTCATGTCAATGTATGACAAAAACCACTACAATACTGTAAAGTAATTAGCCTCCAACTAATAAAAATAAATGGGAAAAAAAAAATCTCACAAAGAAAACTGTAGTACTAGGTGTCTTTGAGTTCTTTCAAATATTTAAGGAAGACATACTATGAATGCTACACAAAGTGGTATTTCTACTCATTTTGGGAGCCCAGCATTATGATACTAAAGTAGACAGGGCATTACAAAGAAGAGAGAAATGCATATCAATGTTCTTCAAGGACATAGATAAAAATCTTGAGCAAAGTATTAACAAATTACTCTTACAGAAAAAATAATATTTTAAAATGTCTTGTCTTCAGCAGAGGGAATAAAGCCAAATGTGATGTTATGGTATGATGGTGACCACGGTCTTTTGAATCATCCCAACCTAGCCAATTCAGGATATTTAGAGAAAATACTGCAGGAAAACGTGCTTTTCTTGGAAAACCATTCTGAGTAGAATGTTCACCAAAAAATTACCAAATCTTCAAAAAGGTGGCCTCATGAAAATACTAATTGGGTTTTCTCTTTTTTGACCACATATACTTTTTAATTGTTTTTTCTAAAAATATACATTTTCTAACTTGTATCCTTAAAAAACTTTTTAATACAATTTTTAAAGGTTATGCTCCATTTACAGCTACAGCAAAATATTGGCTACTTTCCCCATGTTGTACAGTACATCCTTCTAGCCTGTCTTACACCCAATAGTTTGGACCTCCTGCTCCCCCACTGTTATATTGCTCCCATCCCTGTAATCACCAGTATGTCCTCTATATCTATGTCTGCTTCTTTTGGTTGTATACAACATTTGCATGTTGTATACAGCATTTGCCTTTCTTTCCATTTTAAAATATGTACATTTATTTAAAATAAGCAGCCAAATGAAAGTCTTGTCAAGAAGAGGTGGGGTAGAGAATACTTGTGTTCATTTTATTTCTTTTTAGAGGAGCTACTACTGATGCTCTCTCTCCAGATAAATTAGAAGCTCAGATTGCACCAAGCAGTTGCAAAATGTAGAGATGGAGGATATGCACACAGAGGTTGCCACAAACAACTATGATTAAATTATCAATGATGAATAAGTCAAAAGAAAAGGCAAAAGGCAAAGTAGGATGTCAAAGCTGAGCAAGAAATCATCAACTTCAAAAGCTGGTAAGAAGGCAAGTGCATGAACACAAGAGACCTCACAGGCTATGGGACAGTGCGGGGGTCTCTCAAAGACCTCTGACAAAATAAGCAGGCTTCGCAGTAGATTGAATGGAATGATACAGTGCCAGTCTTATGGGGAATTACATGAGAGCACTTTGTGCTGTGTTTTTTGTTGTGCATTTTTATCCCACCTGACTTAAATTTCTATTGATGATTTCTCTTTTTCTTCAGCAGAGAGCAAAGGCATCATGATGGGCAGTTGATACAAATGTGGGGCTGAATTTATAGTCATTCATTGACTGTCAAGTGCCCTGATGCTGATGGAGCACAATTAAGAGTTTCTAGTTGGAATAAAGATCTGTTCTTTAACAAAATAAAGGAAGAAATATATAAAGTATTGTATGCCATTATGGAATTCATCTATTGAATACAAAAACTGATCAACTTTGTAGATTAATCAACATGATAAACTGAATTTTAAAAAAGCATATTTTATCTTACTTTATGTAGCAACCATATTAGACAAAATCCAACAATTATTTTCTGGTCCCAAAGTCACCAAGGAAACTTGAGTCAGAAGAAAATACACACATTTAGTGAAAATGAACTCTAAAATACAGACCTAATATCAAACAGTTAAATGATAGACCTAATATCAAATAGTTAACATCTGAACACTGGAAAAAACAATAGTCTCCATTCTCCTCAAATTTTCTTTCCCTAAAATTATACTGGAGATCCTAGACAGTGCAATAAGACAAGAAAGAGACATAAAAGACATACATATTTTTAAGGAGTAATTAAAACTCTTATTCACAGATGACAGGATTACCTACAAAGTAAATCATAAATCATTTAGTCTAAAGCTATTACAACTAATAAGTAAATTAAGCAAGGTCTTGGGATATAATAAGATCAATATATAAAAGCAAGTGTGCTTCTATATTCCTGATATCAACAGTTAGAAAATGAAAATTACAAAAAGAAAACACTGGAATTTGCAATGGCCTTAAATATGAAATAATCAGGTATAAGCTTAAGAAAGTATAAATCATAATCATATAGGAATTACACATCTGTACCTCGTTCTCATCAAATTCATCAGTCAGGTCAGTCACTCAGTTGTGTCCGACTCTGTGACCCCATGGACTGCAACACACCAGGCTTCCCTGTCCCTCACCAGCTCAATTCATGTGCATTCACTTATTTGGCAGTGATTTTACTTGTTTTATGTTATAGTATCACATGTAATAATACACTGATTCAGTTAAGCAAGAATGTTTAGTACACTGAACTCTGAGTAACACTGGACCATCTTTATTAGCTAAATATTTTTCTGTTGCAGTACCCTTAGAAGCAGCCAGAGGATAATGGCACACACCAGTAACGAAAGTGAGAGGGCAGGTAACAGGCAGGAAGGCCAGGGGTCTCCAAGTGGAGGAAATAGGCTGCAAGTGCCAGACGTTTTTATCTCTCTTAAGTGGCAGGAGGAAACAAACTAGAGATTTTTTTCTTCCTTCTCTACAAATTTAAAAGGAGATTTGTCTTAAAATGCTCAGTTGCCATGACACCTGGTTTCACCTGAAGCTAACTATTCTCAAACCTTGAGTTAACCAATGCAATTTTCTTATGGAAATGTTGGTCTTAAGCTATGCTAATGTACCCCAGACTCTGTCTTGAATCCTCCAAATGGCTCAGAACCTGCTTGACAAACCAGTATGTTATACTCAGATATTGTTCCCCTAGTCTATGTAAATGAAACTATTTGTACGGTAATCTGCCCTTCTACAAGATTCAAGTCAATCATTTTATGGCCTGGGATGAATCATCTGGTGCCAGGATTATCACAAAATGCAATTTATGGATGAGGGGCCTGGTACCATTCTGAATTTTAAAACATTCCTTTCCTTTCATTAACAGACAACTAGTGACCATGTAACATCCAGCTGAAGACTAGCAGGGTGGTACTCTTTCTGCTCCCTTCTGATGCCTATGTCAGAAGCTTCCTCTATCTCCTTTATACTTTAATGAAACTTTATTACACAAAAGCTCTGAGTGATCCAGCCTTGTCTCTGGCCCCGGATTGAATTCGTCTCCTCCGGAGGCCAAGAATCCCGGCCTCTTATCGTTCAGCAACAACCTTTCAAAAGTATTCCACAAAGATTTCTGAAATGCGTTTTTCAAATTATTGAATTCATAATGTTTCAGGAAGTCTCCATTAGGGGCACACACACACAATTTTTAAAAATCAATTTATTTCAAGTAAAACATCTTCAAACTTACCTATTTTATTCCTCAATAATTTATTTTCCCAGAATTATTTTAGAATACATATTACTATATTGAGGTTTGGTATGTGGATATGGATCTATGTATGGTGTGTGTGTTTACACATATATACACACACATATATACATATACAAGCATATGTCACACATATATGTGTATATATATACACATATGTACATACATATATATTTTGTTTACTTGTGTTTCTCCTATTACTGATCAACCATACATATTTGGAATTATCTACTTATACTGACTCCTTGCCAATCTCAAGGACCCAGATTAACCAAATGTATATATTGCTTTTGTCTGGTTAAAGTAAGTTCTCCCTACCCTCTCATCAAAATTCAAGAGATCCAGATATCTTTAATATATAATGACTTATATTTCATTTTCCTGGACTAAGGAGATGAGTTGTGCACTAAGAAATGTATTTTGCAATGGTGAACAGTTGATATTGAACTGGGACAAAAAATACTTAGAGAAACAACTTAATTCATGCTAGAGATAAATAATATCTATCTATTCTGAGGAACAAAAGTGAGTGAATTACTCTGAGACTAACCTATAAAAATCATTCCTTCACAACAACAACAGTTATGTACATGTGGATTTAGGAAGACTGTGGTAGATAAAACATGTGTTCCTAACAGGAATCCATTGGGTTATTGTCCTTTTTTCCTGAAATTCTGGGGCTTACCTTTTTCCATATTGATCAGATTTTTACTACAGGTTTTCATGTAGCCAATTAATATACTGATCGGCTGCTCTATAACCAACTTTAGTAAAAAGAAAATAAAGTGTTCCATGGAATGCACCCTCTAGGTGGTTATGGATCACTCGAACTCCAGAATTCTGAAGTCGAGTAACATACATGAGTCCATCATCTCTTAAGACATCATATTGACAAGTGATGACATAGGTCAGGGGTAAACCACGCAATTTGCTGTCATCAGCTAGCAATGGTGAAGCTTTCACATCTAGAATCCCTGGATATTTTTTAGCCAGCTCTGAACTACCATGAGTTGGAGTCTTATAAACGTGGCCTTTCTTAAACTTCTCAGGAAGCAAAGAACTCCAATTAACAAATTTGAACAGATGGCTTGATTCCAGAGGAATGTGTTGGTTGGAAAGCATTGCTTTCTTAAGTGATCTATCTGTAGTAAAATATTCACTCCAGAATCTGACCATGAGTGATTTCGACAGAACTGGATAATGTGCATTTTCTTGATATGATGGTAAATCGAAATCAAAATTCTGAAGGGCAGGATATATTAAAGATTGGACCTTGAGCTTGATCTTGACATCTGGATCTTCTAAGAGCTGAAAAAATTATAATATATTGTTTTAATAAGTCTTTTTAATGAAAAATTAACCACAATGTTAAAATAATGCATTATTAAGATTCTTAAAAATACAATTCAATAACACATTTTGATAAAAAAATAAAAATGTTAATATCAAGTAAATTTTAGTATTCAGTTCAGCTCAGTCACTCAGTCATGTCTGACCCTTTGCAACCCCATGAGCCCCAGCACGCCAGGCCTCTCTGTATATTAGATGTTAATAAATTTAATATGTTTTAATTTTCAAAGCAAAATTAATTCGTATCCTCCTCATAGACTGTGCAAGAGAATCATTATTTTTTTAAAGAGGATCTTTTACTAAACGTAATTTCATACTTATGGAACCTGTATTTATAATCTGAGGTTCTGTTAGTTTATAGGCACATACTTGATCTTCTCTTTTCTATTATTGAGCTTCCCTTGTGGCTCAGATTATAAGGAATCCACCTGCAATCCCGGAGACCTGGATTCAAACCCTGGAAAAGGAAAATCCCCTGGAGAAGGGAATGGCTATCACTCCAGTATTCTTGCCTGGAAAATTCCATGGACAGAGGAGCCTGGCAGGCTACAGTCCATGGGGTCACAAAGAGTCAGACACGACTGAGTGATTAACATATTTTTCTATTATTAGAGTTATTTTAAATATCTAAATATGTTAGCAAGCATTGAGATGGGAAGGAGATAGCTTGAGGTTTAAAGAGATGCTTGATTCTGGATAAGTTTAAATTATACAGAACTATTAAATGTTTAATATTTGAACTTATTTGATATTTTAACTTACTACTCAAATTTAATATTTAAACTTAATAGCTCCAATAATATTTGAATGTTTGTGCTTTTCTAAATATAGTCCCCATCTTCTTCTGGAAACAGTAGAATTCTATAGTTTTCTTCAAAGCTAATTTTCCTGCAATGTGCTTCTGTTACTGGAACAAACTGATCATTTTATCAGTCATAAAATATGTATCTAGTCTACTGCATAGTTACGTTTGGTAAGTTAAATTTTCAGAACCAACTTTATCTTGTATATGCTTGAAGCACCGACATACTCAGGAAGAATCAAACTGATTAGCACATCAAAAAATAGTATCACTTGCTTATCATTCAGAGCACTGGCCATGATCTCATGTGCAATTGGGTACAGGTAGTGTACCAACTTTCAAGAGAAAACTTTTAAGAATTACCTATTAAGTATGATGTTTCTTCTAAGTGATTTTGTATACATACTTCTTCAAATTAAGGAGATTCTTTTCTATTCACTGTTTCCTAATTTTTTCATATTTATAGATGCTGGATATTATCTTTAAACAATTTACTTTTATTAAGATAATCATTATTTTCTTCTTTAAATTATTAATTTGGAGAATTGTATTAAAGGTATTTTAATGTTAAACCTATCACAATCTACTAGAAGGAACTCAAAATAGTCATGATATACTAACTGTTCAAAGTATTGATAGTATTTTAGTTCAGGATTTTGCATCTGTGTTCATAAATGTAGATGTTTATCATTTTTCCTTCTCAAATTGACCTTGTCAGGTTACAAATCAAGATACGTCAGCCTCCCAAAATGCAACTTTTGTAACTTTCGGAATTTGCTTTTAGAAGTAAATATTTCTATTAAAAATATTTGTTAGAGTTTGTGTTTAAAACTATTTGATCCTGGAGTGTGTGCGTGCAAAAATATTAAAATAACCATTCAGTTTATTTCATGAAAATAATACAATCCTTGTTTCATATTTCCCCTAGAGTCAGTTCTTTTTATGGTGAATATTTCTATTTCATGTAAATTTGAATGCATTGCAGTAAAGTATACTATTGTATTTTTAATATCTGTAAGATATATAGCTATAGTCTCCTTTTCTTCCTTCTATCAGGTTATTAAGATTCTCATCATTTTTTTCTGGTCTGTCTCACCCAGACTAATCAACTGTATTGCTTTTTCAAGAAACCATCTCTGTTGACTTTGCTGATCTTACTGGTTTATTTTTAATTTCATTTTTATGCTTTCATCTATCTCTTATCCCTTTTTATCTTTGTTTCTATTTTTAAACTTTCTTTTCTTGTTTTAATTTCATGAAATAGATACTAACCTGTCAATTTTAGCATTTTTTTTATATTTACTTAAGGCTGTATATTTTACTCTGAATGCTGATATATCTGTATTTCACACGGTATAATGTATATCTATTATAATGCGGGTCAAACATTTTCACATTTTCATTATGATTTCTTCTTTCACACTTGGATTAATCAGGAATGAGCATCTTACTTTCAAAACATAACAGAGTTTTCTCTTGATATTTTATTAGTAGTTCAAAGCATTGTGCTAACTGTGGACAGAGATATAATCAAAATAATTTGATTTCTCAAATTTTATTGTGCATACTTAGAATCACTTGGAATTCTTGTTACCTATGCATAGTGTTATTCAGGTTGTTTGTGGTAAGACCAATGATTCTCTATCTCCAATAAGTGCCCAGATGCTGCTGATACTGCTAGTCCACATACTATGCTATAAATGCTGCCAAGTCACTGCAGTCGTGTCCGACTCTGTGCGACCCCATAGACAGCAGCCCACCAGGCTCCCCCGTCCCTGGGATTCTCCAGGCAAGAACACTGGAGTGGGTTGCCATTTCCTTCTCCAATGCATGAAAGTGAGAAGTGAAAGTGAAGTCGCTCAGTCGTGTCTGACTCTTAGCGACCCCATGGACCGCAGGCTTCTCCGTCCATGGGATTTTCCAGGCAAGAGTACTCGAGTGGGGTGCCATTGCCTTCTCCGATGCTATGAAAAGCAGGGGTCTATTTGATTTCAGTTCTTTGAATTGTTTGAGACTTGGTTTATAACCCTGCATATGTGCCTGATTAAGAAAAATATTTTGTGTGTTTCAAAGAAATGTACATTCTGCTGTTTATTATTTTATGTTCACCTTTTAAATTTATCAACCATGCTGTTCTATTACTGAAAGAGATTAGTAAAATTCTTCCAATTTTGCTATTAACTTGTTTATTTTCCTTTATTTCTTATCAGCTTTGCTCTGTGTTTTCAGATTGTTATTAATGCATGTAAATGGATGTGTTTTTTTTTTTCATCTTCCAATAAAGGGAATTATAGTTAGGAATGTTGCATGTTAATTCAAGGAATAGTGTTTTTCCTCTAAGATTATTTAATATGATTATAAAATAAGTATACTGATTAGTATTTGCTTGACATATCTTTTACTATCTTTTTTTCTTGCATCTATCTATATCTATGTTTTAAAGCACCCTATTCATGCAACTTCTGTTGGAATTTAAAATTTATTGTTTCTATTTTTTGTATTCTACCAGAATTTTTAGTATATCTACATCAGAACATTTATTAATATTTTTGGTTTATATTTATAATTTATGTATTATTGTGCATTCTATTTATCTCATCTATTCTATTATTCTTTTTCCCTTTTGTATTCTTTGAAATATTTTTTATTTTTCAAGTTTCCTGTGATATCATTTTATTGGTACATTTTTATATGTATGTTAAGGATAAACATAAAATTCATTACTTTATCAATGTCTAATACTAATTATATCTTTATTACCTTCTTACAGAATAGAAAGTTATTGGAATATTTTGATATTCTAATTAGCTCTTCTATGCATGGGTTATTGTTATTTTGCATAATAATTTATTTCTATTTTTACATCACAGGACACAATTATTATTGCTTTATAGAGTCATGTTCATTTTCATTTTAGTTTGTGAATATATTTACCTTTTTTCCTTCTCTTTATTTTTTCCTACCTTCTTGATCCTCCCTCTGTGGTTAATTTTCTTCTGCCTGAAACAATCCTCTTTAAAATCCAGAGGGAGAGTATGTTAGGTTGTGAATTTTATGGAATTTTAATTCTAAAAAAAGTCATCATTTTGTCCTCAGATTAGAAGGATATATTCATATTAGTCTTTTTGCCATATATTTAATGACTTTTCATTATTTTGTATTTTCTATCTTAATCTCTCTGTTCAATATTACAAACAATTTTCTGATCTCTCTTCCAATTTTCTATGTTGTTGTATTGCAGTCAATATACTAACACTTCTACATAGTTAAACCTAGAGTGAACCCTAATATAAACTATGGACTTTGGAGGATTGTAATGTGTAAATACAAGTTCATTAACTGTAACAAGTGTACCACTCTGGGTGGGGTTGTTGATAATGAAAGAGTCTATGAATATGTGGCAGAGGGTAGACTGTAAATTTCTCGTCTTCTTCTCAATTTTTACGTGAATCTAAAATTGCTCAAAAAGTATAAAATCTTAAAACAACTACATTGAAAGCCTAATTTTTATGGGTAATGTTTTTATTTATTGAAATTTTATTTATTTTTCAAATATATTAGTTTTTATAGCTTCTTTCATGAGTATATTTCCAAATTTTAAAATATACTTTCATTTATTTTAAGCAGATTCTACTAAAACATTTTTCTAACAATAACAATATCTGAATCTGGGTGATATTTTTTTCCTGTTAACTTGTTTTTATTTTCCTCTTTGTATATGTGCTTACCTTCAACTCTCTGTTGATTACTGAAAAAAAAATCAGTTTAAGAATAAATTGGAACCTAGGATTATGTTGACTTCTCTCAGTGATGACCTATATTTCTTTCTGGCAAGCATATATACACATATTAAAGTATATTTTAACATACAATATTCTGAACACATGTCATGAATATACTTGGATTACATACAATATTCTGATTTCTTAATTATGCTTATTGTTACCCTTTATTGATTTTCTCTCATTAAAAATGCCAATGGACTATATAGGAAATTGCTTCAGCATTTTATATATAAGGAAGTATCAAAGTATGAAATCATTCTTCTCAATGTTTCCTAAATAAGTAAAATGAAATTAGTGACAGATTATATTTATAATCTTGATGTATGAGTCCAAAGTTGGTAAATGAAACATAAAGAAAACACAATAAGTGAAGATGCTGAGCATCTGACCTGCTGTGCCACCGCTGCCGCTAAATTCCCTCCAGCACTGTCTCCAGAGACACCGATTCTTCCAGGATCTACACCATAGCTTTCAAGAATCTGGGGGTCTAAGAACCATTTTAATGCAGTGTACACATCTTCAAATTGAACTGGAAAATGGTACTTCGGGGCTAGTCTGTAGCTGTAGATAGGAAAACAATGCTTTCTTAATCATTGATTTTCTTATCATTTAAAAATTTTTATTTAATTTTTACTTTATATTGGCTTATATTTGATTAACATTGTTGTGTTAGTTTCAAGCGTACAGCAAAGTGATTCCATTACACATATACATATTATATCCATTCTTTTTCAGATTCCTTTCCCATATAGTTTATAGCAGAATGTTGAGCAGACTTCCCTGTGCTATAACCATTGATTTTCCTGGACTCTTGACCCAAACTCAAAACTAAAATTTTGCTTCTACCAACATATTTTTTGGTAACATGCTTTTCCTAATCATAAAATTTGACTGGGAATCTCTAAATATTGCCATTTCTATAATCAAAATGTAAAGTCCAATTGTTAAATTTGGTTCAGTCTTGGGGAAAAACTTACTAGTGCTACCTTTCCTAGAAAAAAATATTTGCAGAGTGTTTATTTTTGCTAAGTGTTTTAACTTATTTTTTTAAAAAATATATCATTATTATTACTTGTTTCTCTAGAATTACTGTTATTTTATCAAAATATCAGTTTAATATGATAATTATTCCATTAGTTCATTAACTGAATTTTCTTTAGTTTATGTTTAACAAGGTTCTCACAGAGAGTGTGTTCTATAGAACATTTAAACCCTTTTTCTATTCTTTCTAAAGTGTATATTAGAATGGACTTTGAGATAGGTTTTGTCTTACTTTCATGGTAAATATGGGTAATATCAATGGATTACTAACTTCTGGCACCTTCCTAAGCACTGTTACATGTATTATAACATGTAGTCCCCATGTCAATGAGGAGATATGCAAATCACTAATACTTAGACTTCAGTATCCTTTAAAATATCACACAGACCAGATCTGCAGAGCTGACATTCAACCCCAATCCTCTGGCTCCAAAACTTCCTTAATTATAGGGACAGATCCAGAGGTAGTAGTTAAATCCATGTGATACTGTTGGCTAACTCCACTTGAACAACATCGTGCCTTTCTGAGCTCTCTTCCTTCTTCAAATATGGGGTATGCCTTTTCTCTCTACTGGACTGGACCGCTTCTGACATTAGGTTTGTCTGTCCATAGCCAATGTCATCAGAGGCACAGATTAATTTTTGCCATAATAAGACACTCTATATAGTTGAGTATATACTGATATGTAAGGCATATGGCCTAAAATAAAATAACACAGCTCTTACTTGGTTGATATGACAACTGCATCAAGTCTGTCTGCTGTCCGTCTGGACAGAAGGTCATAGAAATAATCATCTGAAATAAAAGAAAAAATACTGGATCACTATAAGAATTGAAAAATGATACTGTCAAGAATAAAGTTTATGATGACTTTATATTTCCTCCCTTTATCTTAAAATATTGCCTAAAGAAAAAAGTCTAATACTTAGCTTCCTGTTGATCAGTTGACACATTCACATGTCAGTAGAATGTGAGTCGTTAAGTCTGGTGATCCTTTCACTTGCCCCTGATCAGTTTTCCTTTTCATTTGCCAAAATTTTCAGCAGAGCACAGTGGCATGTCTTACCCTTGCCAACCATACTCTCAGCACACTGGACCTTGGACCTTGAACACCGTCTTCCTACTTTCAATCCACAGTCCTGTCCATTGTGATAACAAACGAAAAAGGTACTAAATGTCTTCTTTCAACATAAAAACTAAACTGTTTTTCTGGAGTACAACTTGATCTGGGAAAGGATAGAAATGTTCTTCAAGGAAATAAAAGAAAATGCAATCCATTATTTAGTCCTATACTGTTAATCAGGAGATGATTTCAAGAAAGCTAACTATACCTTAACATTTAATTAAGTAATTGGAAAGTTTTTTCACATCTATATTGGGCCATTAGGAACTTGGAAAATAATCATTTGAGTCTTGAGGTATAAATAAGACATTTCCAGCAATATGTTAATGAGTTCAAAAGAAAAAAAGGGTTTTTATTTGCTAAGGTGCTTAGTCTTCATTCTGCAAAATTTGTAGGTTCTGTCAGAGAGTGGTAGGATCAGAAACTGTCTTAATTTTTGTAACAAAAATGTGTTAAATTCTTAATGTTAATAAAATTTTATTCAGACTGAGATTTCAAAAACTTAATTTGGGCTGCTTTCATGAAAAGAATTTCTGAAGCAGGAACATTATATTTAATTTGCACCTCCTAGTATGAGAATCATCACTTACATTATATGAAATGAATCTACCAATGCATCACCCTTACCATTACTGCCCAAACTCCAGCCACCACCATGAATATAAAACAAGCCTCTTCTTAATGATTTTGTTTTCTGTTGGGGCACGTATATACGGACAGGAATATCGTTGAATGTTGTATCTCTCACAGTTACGTTTTCATCTGATGTTGGTGTAAAACCTTGAAAGCTTGAAAAGAATGTCGATTTCATGAAATGGTTTAGCCCCAATATTTCAGCAAACTGGTCCTAAAATGAAATAAAGGTACACATATACTCTAACTGTAAAAAATGTTTTGAGTCAAGAGGTATACATAAATATTCAATATGACCCCCAAAATCTTAGTTATATAGTCAGAAGAATCAATGATTATACAAACAAAAAAAGAAGATATACAAACCCAGATGCTTTATTACTGTATGAAGAATAACCTAAGTGACATTAATCCTCACTTATACACTCACCCAATAGATATTAATATGGAGTATATAATTCTCTTGTCAATGCCCAGTAGAATTAGGCAAACTATTCATCCTCAAAAAGGAAAGAAAAGAAAAAAAATCACAGTCAAATGAAAGACTTAAGTTATAAAAGGACATTGTAATATAAATATGGGAAAAATTCTTTGGAATAATTGTCAAGGTGAGGAAAAGGTTTTTAACTTCCACTTTAACTAAGACTTAAAAGGAAAATAGTGTTTGGATGATTAACTGAAGAGATAACCTTTCAGTCAGATTAAGTAAGCTTAGTCTAGAGAAAAACAAAATGTGGTGATAGAGAAACACAGGTTGTTTGCTATTCCTATACTTTCAGACTCCAAGAGGTTGAATGAAAGGAAAGAGTCCTTAAGAAGAATTTAATAAAATATACAACACATACATATTAAAAACCAAACAAAACCCAAAGGCTATGAAAGACATATTGATAAATTAAGTTTTGTTATATCTAACAGTAATATTTTAGACATCTAGTAAAGTGGTTGAAAAGCCAAAGCACAATGTAAATAATAAACTTGCAATTATGAAAATGATAGTCTTTAGAATATATAACAAACTGATTACAGTAAGAAACAGACTAACAAGTCAATAGACAAAAGACTCCAACATTTTTTTTCATGAAAGGTCTACAATGACTGAGGCTCTAAGGAACAAAAATACTCAATTTTCAAATATATAATTCAAAAGGAATGGCAAATGCAACAAAATGGTGGAATAAGCACTGTTTTAACCTTCTTTCATTTCCTAATCCATATCCTAGGGTTGTGATCTCTGGTGGGTTGAATCTAGGCTTCCTAGGTGGCACTTTTGGTAAAGAATCCACCTGCCAATGCAGGAGACGTAGGAGAGGCCAGTTTGATCCCTGAGTTGGGAAGGTCCCCTGGAGGAGGGCATGGCAACCCACTCCAGTATTCTTGCCTGGAGAATCCCATGGAAGGAGGATCCGGGCAGTCTACAGTCCATAGTGTTGCACAGAGTCAGACATAACAAGCGACTTAGCAGGCACACACAGGTTGAATCCACAGATACAAAATCCACTGATAGGAGGACTGGCTGTATTAATTGGTCTGTGCCATTTAATATAAGGGACTGTAGCATTGATATTGGTTTCTGAGGGGGTTTTTGCAACCAATCGTCTGCCACCCTGCTAACAAGACTGTATTATAATATATACTTCTGAAAAAGGGCACAGTATCGGGAATCATAATAACAAAAAGCCTAGTTCTCCAAGACACAGCAATACTAAAATGTGTATGCAATAACAGAGCTTAATAATGCAGGAATCGAGAACTGAAAAATTGAAAGGAGAAACAAAAAATGAATCCAAATTATTAGTTGGAAATTGACATTCTTATCTCATTTGTTGATAGAAAAAGTAAATAGGAAAATAGTAAGCATATAGAAAATTTGAAAAAACCATCAACTCAACAGAATTAATGTATTGAGGACATTCCACCCAATGAAAACAGAATACACATTCTTTTCAACTGCATAAAGAAATTTCACAAAGATGTACCACATGACAAATTTGGGGGAAAAAAATATCTCAACAAGCCAAAAAAATTAAGATCATACAGAGTAGTTGTCAACCCACAGCATAAGTAAAATAAAAACTGGAAACATAATAGTGTATGAGAAATCCCTACACATTCAGAAATTAAACAACATATTCCTAAATAACTCATTGGCCAAGGAAAATATACCTCTAGACAAATTGAAAAAATATTTTTAAGCAATTGAAATGAAATTATAGCATATCAAAATTTGTAGAGTGCAGAAAAAGCATTGACTGAAGGAAAATTCTTAGCTTTAAATGAATTATTAGAGGAGAAGAAAGGTCTAAAGGAACTGATCTAAGCTTCCTCCACTACAAATTTAGAGTTAGATTAGCATATTAAACTCAAAGTATGAAGGAAAGAATAAAGGGGAAAAAACCTAGAAATCAATAAAATAAAAATAGATAAAGAAAATTAAAGATTTATTTCTTGAAAAAAAATCCCATAAAATTGATCAGCCTCCAGTCAGAATAATCAGAAAAAAAGAGAAGTTTCAGTTTATCAATATCAGAAATACATGAAAGGACACAATTTTAAATGGTCAGACCCATAGACACAGTAGGCAGCAGTCAGCGTGTGGTGCTCAGATCGACTGGACTGGCCACCCAGGGAATGTGCAGTGTAGGGAAAAATGGGACCAGGACTTGGATAACTGTTAGACATGTGGAAAGAAATTGAAGATGACACAAATAGACAGATATACAATGCTTATGAATTAGAAGAATTGATATTATTACTGTTAAAATGACCATACTCCCCAAGACAATCTACAGAGTCAAAGCAATCTCTGTCAAAATACCAATGGCATGTTTCATAGAACTAGAATAAAGAACTCTAAAATTGTATGGAAATACAAAAGACTCTGAATAACCCAAACAATTCTGATAAAAAAGTACAATGCTGGAGGTATCATGCTCTCTGATTTCAAACTATACTACTAAGCTGTATTGATCAAATAAGTCCAGTATAAGGACTATACTGGAAAAAAACAAACCCAGACATCAGAAGATTAGAATTGTGATACTGGAAAAAAACAGATCCAGACATCAATGGACTAGAATCTCAAGACCAGAAATAAACTCACACTTATAAGGGCAATTAATCTATGACAAAGGGCAAGAATATACAATGGGGGAAAAGACAGCCTCTTCAATAAATGGTGTTGGGAAAACTGGACAGCTACATGCTAAGAATCAAACAGGACTACTTTCTCACATCATTTAAAAAATATACTCAAAATATATTAAAGACATAAATGTAAGACCTGAATCAATAAAACTCTTTAAAAAATAAGCAGTATGCTCTCTGAGATCAGTCTCTGAAATATTTTTTTTTTGAAATGCCTCTTCAGACAAGGGAAACAAAAACAAAAATAAACAAATGGGACCACATTAAGTTAAAAAGCTTTTGCACAGTGAAGGAAACTATCAACAAAATGAAAAGTCTGTCTACTGAATGGGAAAAGATGTTCTATAAATGATATAACTGGTAAGGGTTAGTATCTAAAATATACAGATTATTAAAAACTAATATGATCTTGTGTTTGCCATAAGCAATCAGTCTCACTTTCAATTATATGTATTGAAAATGAAGTTGCTAAAAGTATAGATTTTGTTGACCTGATGAATAACTTTATAGAAAGATGAGAAAAGACTTAATAAATCAAAAGCATTACCTTAATGTTATTATTCTTCATTGTAACACATAGAGACATGCATGTTTTTGTAATTTGTGTATGTTATTCATGTACTCATTATTACCTGTATTATTTGTTGCTGCGGTTTACTTGCTAAGTCATTCTTGACTTTTTGTGACCCCGTGGACTGTAGTCTGCCAGGCTCCTCTGTCCACGGGATTTCCCAGGCGAGAATAGTGGAGTAGGTTGACATTTCCTCCTCCAGGGGATCTTCCCAACCCAGGGATAAAACCTGCATCTCCAGCACTGGCAGGCAGACTCTTTACCGCTGAGCAACCAGAGAAGCCCAAACATACCTAGCTCAACACTGTGTGTGTGATCTGT